CATTAAAATTTTAATCTAGATGACGTTTAAGGACGACGGAAAAGGGTCAATTAATGGTACTTAACACATTTAAAACATTTTTCTAATTAAGTTGAACAAATCAAGTTTCTTAACTCAAAGGGTGATGAGTTGAAGATATGTCGGGTTTACCGAACAGGTTATGCATATACACGATAACGTTACCCTAAACTAGCTAGGAACATTATAGAACCCTCAACCTTAATCAATAAATTACAAGAATATGAGATCTCACAAACCCGAAAACGAAAGAGTCATTAGGTTGTGACTCTAAAAAAGAATAGGCTGTAAATGAATAACAGGGGAAGCATCCCATTATTGAGACCTGAGAGAAGGCTTATTACTTTCAAAGTTAGGATAACAAATAAAATGGATAAGTCAATACAAACTAAGAAGGCGAGCTTTCTGTTTATCGCTTACAAAAGCTGTGGTATCAATATCAACTTAATTATTATTATTATTATTATTATTATTATTATTATTATTATTATTGTTTATATTATTGTTATTTATTATGATTATTACTAATATTGTTTTAAATGAATAAGGGAAAGTATGACAGCGCTGTTTTGTTTAGCAATTGATGTTAATTAAGAATTATACTTTGGAATTGTATTTTGATTATTCTGAATGTGATGTCAAGTCAGTATGATGTAAATTGCATGATTTTGATTATATGTACTGCCTCTGGTATTGAGAAAATAAAACACCTTATAAATATAAAACAAATAACGCATGATATGAAGCATTTACCTACAATGTTCCTTAAATAACATTAAAAGAGGGGGCCACAAAATCCCCCAGAATATTCACTGCATTCGAGAACGAGTAACACCCTGCGTGGGCTGAGCTAATGGATATTAGAGTTGGACTTCACTGACCACCCTCCGCGAATTGAAATTTTCCGAACCGAAGGAAAAGGAAATTTCCTTTTTCGATGAAAAGCGGCTGCTGTGTGTCATCGTTTCATCTTTGACTAATAAAGTAATGTAAACTTGAACAATGTTTTGTCGAGACTCTTGAGAATTTAACCGAAACCATTCTGCCATGTAACAGCACGAAATCCAGATAAAAACAAGAACTGATATAGTTCATAAATGAAAGATATCATTATTAACACCAACAACAAGTTTGTTGAAAAGCCCTCCGATAGTAATCTGGCTATTTATGTTTTTAGAGTGTTTCTTGCAAAAACACAGGCGTATGACACGATTTTACTGGGCCTGTCGTCTCTTGGACAAGTTTCGAAGCGAGGGAGCGAAACAAGCGACAAAATGTTGACACGCTGATACTTTATCATAGTAAACAAAAAAAATAGTCGTAATTAAGAAACAGCAAAAAGGCTACATTTCTTCCCAAATTATTATATATTATAATTATATTATTATTATTAACATCACCATCGTCATTCAAAAAAACCTCAAAATGAATCCGCTAAATATTCATTGATATGTTTTTGCAAAATATATTAATTTGAATAACCTGTACAAACCATTGATACCACCTCTAAATCCGGACTTAAAATTTACCAGCCGGAATTCTGTGACCCTCTTATCGAGCAATTCCCACTATGCGTGTGGATTTAAAGATAGAAATGTATATCCAGCAAACAAATAAAATACTTTATCAATAGTTTGAATTTCAATCCCGCTTGATACCAATCTCTAACTTGCAAGAAAACAACATGACACGGTATAATCTGTCTGATTTCCAAATATAAATTATAGCCTTAGTACAAGGCTTGATGACAAAATACAGCTGCGTGTTTTTATATAATTTATTCATCTGTTAAATGATTAACATTTTAAAGACTATTTAAAACGAATTTTGAGTATTAATGAAAAAGAGTTCAAAGAAGATTTTCAAAAAGATTTTGCGAATTCACCAGCACTTATCAATATTCTATGTGAGAGTAATTTACAGGACAAATTAACACATAACTCCAAAAGTCTGAAAAAATGTAACATGGATGTAATCGGCAAAGACATCTTACATTGTGTAAATTTGTTTGAGGACATGCCACTTCCTACCCCCCGCATCGTCTGTTTGCACTTCTCTGGAGAATCCGTTACACGAGGCATTCCATAGCCCATCCTTAAAGGTATTGTCCTCAGTTTGAATGTAGGGATTCCGTCTGCTCTGACATTTTATATTCCCTATCATTTCAACAGAATAGAGATCAAGTTTCATTTGCAATATTTCTTCAAAAAATTCTACGGTATTGATTTTTCTTTTTTTCAACTGTAAAACTGTTTGGGTATACATTTTGGATAGTATTTATTATTGTATATGTATTTTATTGGAAATTATAACAAATAAATAAATAATTGAATGAAATTAAATGAATGAGATTGTTTCGAATGGTGAGTCTGAAATTCGAGCTTTTCTGAGATATTAGTCAATATAAATTTACAGTTTTATTTTGACTAAAGCTCTTAAGACGTTGAAATAGAAATATTAAACAATTGTTGTGTTTTCCACCCAGGGAAGTCACATCAGTATTAAAACTGTTCTTCCTGAGAGCCCTGCAATTATCATTACCCATTCATTGTCAGCTACACATTAAAATACACCTGGGGAGTGTTTCACAAAGACTAAGATCGACTTTAAGTTGGACATATAACTATGGCAGGCCGTTCATGCCACTCTTTGCTCTTACCATTATGATCCTTAGATAATATTTTTTCCTTCAATAATGAATTATCAAAAATTTAATTCTGCAGATTTGTGACAATGAATTGTACGTCCCTTAAGAGACCAATGCCAGTAAATGATGAGAGCAAAGAGTGGCATGAACAGCCTGCCATAGCTAAGTCCAACTTAAAGTTGATCATAGTCTTTGTGAAACACCCTCTGGATCAAGAGGAACAAACGTGGACACACACACCTTGTCAAATGACGTAGACATCGAGCAAGCATCGAACCTTGGAACTTTGGAATGTAAGTCATGAAACGTCACCAACATACCACAGTGCTCCTTAGTTAGACTCGGGTAGTCAGAAGGTTGCAAAACTATAAAAACTGAGAAAAACATTACTGGATATTGTAAGAGTATGCTTTCGTTTGCTTGTTTCTTTCGTTTAGTTTCATGTTTCGGTGGTTATGGAGATGAAGTGGTCCTTTCTTGAAATCTCCTACCACTTCATTCAGATGTTATAAGAGTTCTGGCAAGAGATTATCCGGTTTGAGTAAAAACACATCTCGACAATGGCATAGTTAAACAATGTATTGCTATCTATACTAAACAATGTACTTTTTTAATATTTCATCATTCATTCAAATTAGAAAGAAGAAAACAAATTATGTGACAAAGCTGTGAGGGGGGGAAGAAGAAAATTCGATTTTATTATTTAGTTTAGCTCTCATACATTATCTTGTAAAACTCTATCCCAATTTAGTGTTAACCTTGGAGAAATTAATTTCTAAATGCAGATCTACATTTTACGAGCTTATGAGACTAACTTTTTTTAAAATCAAATGAGAGAACGATTACACACTCACACACACATACACATTCTGGATACAAGCAGAGACACAAGTCATGTGTCTCTCCTCCGTCAGGAGGAGATGGAGGTAAAAGATCCACAAAGTCCACGCAGTAACAACAAGTAGAGAAGCAGAAAGAAAGGTAAAAAGACGGAGAGATAAAACAGATATAAAAGAGAAAGAGAGAGAGAGAGTGTGTGTATGTGTGTGTATGTGTTAGTGCGTGTGCGTTGTGTTGTAGGTCAATGACTTTTAGCAAAGGTATGAAAGTGTCAACCTCGACACCGGGAAAGAGCGGGTTAGTTGTCTTCCTGTTGCCTGCTCCAATCCGCTGTGCCCGCTATTCAAGAGGGAATTGAGAGATAGAGGGGAGAGAGATGATGCATTGAGATGAGGGAGAGAGAGAGAGGGGGAGGGAGAGAGAGAGAGAGAGAGAGAGAGATGAGTGGGAGAAGAGAGAGAGATAAAGATAGATGTGGAACAAAATGAGAGAATGCGATTGGAGAGAGTGGGAGAGAGAGAGAGAGAGAGATGAGAGGGGAAAAGAGAGATGGGAGATGTAGAGCGATTTGAGAGATTTAAAAAAAAAGAGCAAGATGGAAAGAGATTGAGTGATTGGAGTAGAAGATGGATGAGAAGATTTTTTGTAAAGGAAGATACAAAAATAAATTAGGGACGTTGACGGACGACAATGTATGTGATAAATGTGAATCTGAAACGAAGGACAGAAGTATAGAGAAAATGAAGAATGGGAGAAAGAAAATAGGGATAAAGTAAATGGACGAAAATAAAATGGAAATGGGGAGCGATCTTTTCAACATTTCACAAGCACGTACACTTTTCGAAACTTCATTTCACGGGCCCTTGCTCCCCTGGTTCCGGCTGTGTCTCGCTTTGAAATTCGCTTGCTCCTTGACAACAACAAAAATACACATCGCTGCCTCAGCTAGCTAGACTACCTGCAACATATTAAAATGGGTCTGGTAAGGGAATAGGGGTGTTATTTCCCTCCACAAGAGATTTGTTTTTCCTCAGCAAGAGAGTGCATGTAATCGAGGTTAAAAAGAAGGTGTGACCCAAACAGTAACTGAACTGTATACCTACATAATCTATGATGTTTAGTAAACATAGCGTAAGCAAAAAAAAATAGGACTCGAATGACGAATGTGTGAGTAATGGTACATGGGAGAAGTGAGGGAAATATCATGTGGCAGTTGAAATCAAATGCGTCCGATTTATTGGTTCATTATCAGCCATGCAGTGCACGTATCCTCCTGGCTGTTATACAACAACTGGAATAAATCTAAAATTGTGTCCAAGACGCTCATTTCTGCTTCGTTTAGCATGCTTCAAGTCTGCAGCCAAAGTCTCAAGAAGTTAGACGAAGAGAATAACGCGAGCCGTCCGCCTCGGACTATGATTGGCCAGAGAGTAGCGAGGCAATGGACCAGTAGAATAGCTTGTTTTGTTCCTACCATTATTCTTTCAATACGGCCCATCGTGAAGCTCATATTGTACTCCACGAATCGAAGTGACATTAGGTGGCCGCTACGCACTATTGCCTCTCCAACAGTCCGTACTACACTCGTTTCCGGTAAACCAACCCACCCCTCTGTTTTTCCCTCATATTTTGTTCTTTTTGCAATTTTCTCTCTCCCTCGCTCGCTTTTAGCTCAGGTGTGCTGGAAGGAAAGGCTCAGTCTACTGTATCAACTGCACCGGGTTCAGTCGCAATTCGGGACTAGCACCAGAACACACTGTACGACCAACCATCAGTCACCCATAGCTGGCTTTCAAATCCTTCGCAAGTGCACGACCTCTCCATTCCTTGCTTGCTTCTCATTCACCTTCTTGCTCGCCTACGCACGCCGACGTGTCTCCGCATCCACTCCTCAGTTCATTGACAAAATATTTGGATTTTGCTGCCAAGAAATCCTGATCGACACTTTCTTTCTAGACGCGATACGTCACAGGTCGCTTGCCAGTTGTAAAGAGAAAAGTTTTATGCCCCCTTCTTCCGATCTTGGTTCATTCATAGAGAGTTGAGACAGTGTAGGCTTCAGATGTTCTCGATTTTGGGTCTCTGAGAAACACGGAGGCAAACCTCAAACGTCAACGATAAATTCATAGATCAAGATATTAGATCTACCACTTGATCATCGAAATCATTCTCAACATTAATTGAGACGGCTTCAGGGTTCGACAGAGACCTAGGATTTTGTTTTGATAAAAACAGCTCTTTAAGAGGAGAATGGTGATTTTGAAATAAACTTTTCTTTCTTCTGGATGTGGATGCTAATTACTTAGAAGGTGTCTGGTAAAAAGAGAGGAGCCATCTTCAGTCACTGAGCTGCTGATATCCAAAGGATTTAAACTGGTTGTAGCGGTTGGGAGAATTTTACAAGTTTGCAGTTCATTAAACCTGATAAAATAAGGTAAGTTACATCTAGATGTACATTAATTAGAACCATTTGCAAGAACAAAAGCGTTACTGGTTTGTGTCATTTTTGTGGTCATCTATTGTAACTGGAAATATTGATGACATTAATACCAAACTTTGTTACTTTTGTGTAAATTGTTTTGATCAAATTTGGCATATTTAGCGATGTCTAGATCAAGATTTCATAAACATAATTGCTGTATTTATATAAAAGCATTATCATTATTAATTTTATCACCCACCATTCTAATAATTATTATAGTCTTGTACATAAAAGCATTTTGGTGATATTTATGTGTGAACCAAAAAAGGAATTTTCAATGTACGTTTTTCATCGCAATACCATAATTCGACTTAAAGGTAAAATCTATAGAAACAAATCAAATAACAAATAAGTCCTAGGCTGTAATAGTTATAGGCTTTAGTTTCATGTGAAGATATTAATAATCACGCTAATTTAGCTATTTACAAAGTGTATATTAATATGTACTATCATATCATGGTGAAATACTAATGGTTAGTTGTAAAATACAATATTATTAGTTCCTTTTCGAGTTTCGACTGATGCTTAAAATGGTACGTGAGCATGAATGACGATATTTCCCTGGTTTGAGGATGTGGTTTAGGTTTGTCCTTAGAGACCGACGTGCAATAATCACAGCGTGTCCAACACCACCATTTTAATTTTTGAATCTCTCTAAATTTAGCATTTTTTGTGCCGGTGTCCTAATTCGTATAATTGATTTAAGTTTGATTTATGTTACCCTTTGCCAGATGTTTCGTAGGCCTCCCTGGTTCAATTTGTTGCAGAATGTATCAATGAGCGGATAATAGCATGTTTTATAAATTATGTGTTAATGCCCGATGGTTGATATATCACCAGTGCTCTCTTTTCATCTTATGCCGATAGCATTGGCGTTCGTATCCCTGGGGTAGCATATACCATCCACATCAATATTGCAACCACACCCTCCTTCTCTCTCTCTCTCTCTCTCTCTCTCTCTCTTTCTCGGTCTTTATGTATCGCTCTCTTTAACTTTATCTCTGTATCACTGTCTCACATTATCTTCCTCTTCTCTCTCTCGCTTTCTCTTTGGTATTCACTTTTCTGAGTTTTTTCTGTCGTTAGTAGCTTTCTACAAATAAATGTAATGAATTGATTTACATGCAAAGCTATAAAGTAGACGCGTTTAATTTCTTAGTCCATTTAGTACCAGATGTTTGCAGTTATACATTTTCTTCAAATAGTTGGAGTAGAGGACAATTATCAAAGTACTTCACAAAATAATGTCGAATTTAAGTGCACAAAAAGAAAAACGGTGATCCATTGTAAGACCGTTTATTTTAATTTCCTTGGTCCATTTTGTCTAATAGATGCTCGTTTCTTCGTCAGGGCTTGTTAAATCATAGACGTATTTACGTCTATGGTTAAATCTATGCAATAATATACTTACTTATTACATCCGGAAAGTACTAAGATTGGTATGCGATTTATTTATATACTTTGGTTGATGAGTGTGTTCGATGACTTACTACCACCTTTTTCCATCATTCACTCATCATGCTAGCACCAACTATTTCTTTCACCCTCTCTTCACTCCTTAACATAATCCCACCCCCTCATTCTCCCTTTCAAGTATCAATTTCACCGGTGACTTGGGGCCAAGGATTTTTAGGTCAGCTTAATCCGATCCCGAATGAGAAATGATTTATGATTACATTGGATTAGAGCAAACGCTCCAAACACTGCGAGACGTTGTTTCCGGAATAATAAGGTCTGTCGAGCTCCTTAGGGTAGCAAAATAACCCCGAACTGGCGCACTTTTGCTTCGCCTTGACGAGTTCTCCCTCTTTTTTCCCTGGTCGGAATCGGCGCCAGTTTCCGCATCTCCCAGTAGACGTACTTTACCACCGTTTCGCTGTGTGTGTGTGTGTGTGTGTGTGCGCGATTGCGTGGTTGTGTGTCAGTGTGGAGACGCAGTGTTTATGAACCTAGCAGGAAAGCGCAAATCTTGAAAACAGGAAGTGTTCAAAATGGGAAAGCTATTAATCGAATTTTCACTATTGATAATACACGCATGTATTAAGTTATCCGATTGGCAGTAAGCAAAGAATGTAGAAAGACTTGAACTCCTTCAAAACTACAATTTGAGCTCTCTTGGGTGTGTTTCTTTGTAGTTGATAACCCAGTAGCCGATTGTAAAGAGGACTGAAATAAATTACATTCAAATGTGCCTCACTGTTAGACAAAATAATTATAACCAAACTGGTTGCCGAAAGTACACATACTTTTTCACTTCGTCGTGTTCGTTTTCAAGAATAATTATTATCAAATCTTTACGCATGTGAGGTGAGGGCGCTATTTCCTTCGTGAACTGCTGAGAACTAATGTGACTTTGCATGGGATTTGTTTAGGCATGTAGTTTTCAGAGGTTTTTTTTTTACAATGAGGGAGGAAATAAATTAACTACGTAGTAATTTTATAGAAGAAAACGGTATTGAAATCAATTTTTTCCGTTCCGGAGGAGCTTCAAAGTAAGAGTAAGAGCTTGCAAAATCGTTTTCTCTAATGACTGTTCGATTTAAGCCGGGTAATTGATGATGGTATAAATATAATCACCTTTTAAATCAAGCTGCTACTAATTTTATTATTTAGTTATGATGGCTTGAATTATTTTTGGAATATCAAGATGGAAATAAAAAGGTTTTACTTACATGTATATTGCTATTTGCGACCTTTCACCTTTCACCTATTTACCCCAAAACTAATCAGATCATCTTCCTTTGGTCATAAACACTATCAAGAGGTTTGAAGCCCATATATGTTATGGTTCTTTAGATATCGCGATAACGAGGCTAATATTATATATGTAATTTCGTAAATTGACCCCTATGACATTTGACCTACTTGCTCCAAAATCTAATTAGATCGTCTTCCTATATTGATACATACTATCACTAATATTGAAGTTCATACCTTAAATGGTTCTTCAGATATCGCTTCAACGAGACAGCGGGATGGATCGACGGAAGGACGGACAACCCGAAAACATAATGCCTCTTGTACCACCATTGGTGGACGGGGACATACAAATTATGTTTCATCAGCAACAAGTACGAGGGATTTCGAAGTTGTTATTTCCATTGCCCTTGGTCACGTCACAGTAAAGCAATCGACGAACTTTTCAACCCCTATTTAAGTTTGAGTTCCACTTGTGCCATAGCGTCAAGTCCATTGTGAATTCATTCATTCATTCCATTTCGTACACCAACGATACAAAAATAATGCGAAAAGTACAGAGTGTGTCATGAAAAAAGATAGACGCAAATTACTTCACTTACTGAAATACCTAATTCGATGTTGCTGAGCTAATGCACGCTGGTGTTTTGCACATAATACACCTAAAAATAAAAACTACAACAATGATATTGATTATATAGATGTGCTATGGGATCGAGGAGAAAATAAATGAGAATTGGTTTTCGTAAATGGGAATGAACTTTTAACCTTTGGGGGTAATGGGTTTCTGTTGTAAATAAGTGTCAACTCTATTGTATCATTCCTTCTCGATGACTCGCTCTAGTACAGTATAAAGGTGAGGGCTGCGATGAATATTATACGATATTCAAGAAAAATGAATTTAAGAGAGAAATCGGGGACAGGAAATCATAACCACTTGTTATGGGTGACAATTTATTGATGCGTTTGCCAAGTAGGGGAGTTTCTTCATCCCGTGAGGAAACAATAAAAAGGAGAAGTCAAATGGTCACCTTATTTCTCAGCAGTCAAAGGCTTGATATAAGGAAGTAAGTCCACGTGCCAAAAAGTCTACCTTGTCTTTTCGCCGTTTTCGCTGAATGAAAAACCCCTTGAGATATGTTTAAATAATTAAGAGTATGAAGCAAAAATGCATTTCCCTTGAAATTGATAAACGGTCTTCGTGGTAAAAACATGCCAACATCGGCAATCGTTTCAATTCTGACCATAAAAAGGTCTTAAGACCTTTTAGTAGTCCTGGTGCGAAGTGCATGACCTTCTTAGGCTCTTATAACTTTAGGGGGCTGTTGTCGTTTTTATTTTCCTCTCCAGATTAACGTCTACGGCTTGTAGTGAATTGATGATGAGGTTTTGTGGTGGACATTCTAAAAAGTGCACAATAGTGCATTCACATCGTAAAACAAAAAGTGGAGAAAATATATTTCCGAAAATGGGAAACTATAAAGAGTTGCGGATAGGGGCAGAGGAGGAATAGGGATAAGAATAACTTGGAATATGGTTAAGATATTAACCACATCTAAACTATTTTGAAAGTATTTTCACCCACATTGCCAGATGTCGTCATCCGAAAGATTGGTTACAGTTTCCCAGTAATAAAACAATTATTCTCTTATTATATCCTCATTATATTACTATTTATTCAAATTGATACTTACGCACGCATGCATGCTATACAGGAATGTACGCCATTCCACCTCTATCGCATCAATATCGTATAATCTTTGAGGAACCGCCCGCCCTGTCAATCATAATTCATCCCGTTACCATGGAGACGCGTTGGCATCTCCCTATACTACACGGTGAAACCCTATAGCATCTCCGAGAAAGTACAATGACCTTCCTGCAATGAAATGGAAGGAGGGACTGACATCGAGCTCAATCTCGTCTCACCGAAAGCATGCCATTACGAAACAATCGTCTGTAATTCAGTTATGACGATTCCTACCAAGCCAACGCAAGCTGTACCCGATGCATTGTCATTCGTTGCTCGCAATTTTATATTATATTAAACGCTCATGCATAAACATGATGTGCGTTTTGCCGCAATTCGTTATGATATAACCACGGCCTAGTTTAAAGCCAATGCACTTTTACTCGTCTAATGCAGTAAAAACGCCGATAAGTGTATGTACAGGGTGCCCTGCAAAAAGGGAAACACAAGTTTACGTTACGGGTAAATAACTCGAGGATTACAAAGTATCCCTTGATTTATGTAT